CAAAATCTTTTGCAGTTGAGAATTTGTTCTCCTCCAGATGAAAACAACTACTTTCCGCTACACTCGGTATTCATAAAAAAGTGGTTTTTATGCGAATACAGTTTGCACACCAATGTTCAGGAGGAAATAACCTGTCATTCAAAATAAATAACATCCAAATCGGACAAGTAGTTTTGACGAAAATGTTTCCTATACTTCTGACTGCTTTTTGGCGGTGCGTTTATTTCTAGAAGTGTATATCTTCGATACAAATATTTCAAAGCGATTTCGTTGTCACCCGGTATATAATATAGAATGGGAGTTCAGTGGCGTGTTCAAAGGGGGGCCTGAAGGGCCCGCCCCCCTTCCCAAAGCAGGCTACACTCGAATAAAAAAACACGAAAATTTCGGCTCATCCGCAGTCTTATTTGATATCTATAGAAATCCACCATTTCATTATTAATATATGATGTTTGTTTTATGCTACACGGTGTGGGTATTTTATGCACTGAAAAACTCGTAAATCGTTAGTTCATACCTGAAGTGGAACCACGAACAGTTGAGAAGAAGAATATTATTCTCTTCGCCCGCCGGTCAGCCTGACCGGCGGGTGGCGATCGTGTTTCCGTTTCCGTTCATATAATCGGTGGCGATCACGTGGCTGCCAAATGATCAGCGTTTACTGTTCAAAGTTTTCAGTTAGCTGTAGACTGTAGAGTCGCTGAGTTAGGTAGATGGTGGCGTTGGTATCTTTGCATGAGTAATCTCGAGTCATATCAAAACAATAACTAAGAGCTGAATAATAATGAGGCAAAAAGATGGGAAAATAAACCAGATTTGCCCTCTACAGCAATCGAAGCACTTTGTTTTGGGGCGAGTTTGTTCCCTGCAATAAAGATTTTACTGAAAATATTTGTGACTCTACCTGTATCAACGGCAACAGCGGAAAGGAGCTTTTCAACCATAAAGCGCTTGAAAACCCACTTAAGGTCAACCATGGGTGAAGAGCGTTTGAATGGTCTAACTTTACTTAATATTCACAAAGAAGTTGATTTGAATATTGAAAATGTAATAAATAGGTTCGCCACAAGTAAAGCCAGACGAATGAGCCTCAAAGACTGGTCAGGTTGAAATAATTGATCTAAAAAAATTTATAAGTATGCTATTTTCCATGTTTGTTCATTGCTTAGCCAAATTAAAAAAGAATGGTTGTTCTGGTGTTGTTTCGTTTAATTATATATTCGTCAATGTATCGCGACAAATTTTGGCAACATTTTTTATTTTTGCCTCGGCTTCCCTATCTAAACACGCCACTGTGGGAGTTTTATTTGTAGAAACACATCTAGTACAGAAAACACATCAATTTTGCAACTAATGAAATAGTATATATTATGCACAAGAGCCGGGAATTTCTTTTCAATTATACCAAATATAAATTCCCTCAGACTCAGGAAGATCAAGAAAAGTACCTACCATCGAAATTAATTATATCACTACTTTTGCATTTTAGCATCAACGAGAGAAATACGATCTTGGAGTATATAAGGTGGCCCTCAGGTCTACTCTACATACAATGAGAAGAATATAAATTGTGGACTTCAGAATACAATAGATATACATAAGGTCCCAATCTTGGTTTAAGATGTTTGTTGATATAATGAGTGAGGTACTTTTATTAGTTCTGACGTAAAACATCAGTTTCATACCATTATCACCTAGCATTGACAGTATTTTTGATAATCCTTGATTTTTGCATTGCTTGTATGTATTTCAGAAACTATAGATTCTATAATAAGGAAAGTGAATAGAATCATGATTCTAGGAGATTTCATGTAGTTTAGTTTTGTATGTATAACCAGTCTATCGCGGTTGCGATTCTTCGGAAGACTTGAGAAAAACGTGAAAAACAAAGTTTTCTCAGCACTCCGCTCATCCCCCACTGGTTAGATTTGAGTACGTTGGTTATGTCACTCTCTTCAACCAATTTACAAAATTTGCTACTACAAACATGCACTTTGTTGTCTATAGTTTGCATTCGTCCCTAAATCATGTTTTCAGCTATGGAGTGAAATAATTGGACTCTGAGGCAGTATTGCCCTATACCCTGTAAATATATATAGGTGAATGTATATAGGTGAAGTTCTTCATCACAAGGGGGCTCCAATACCACAATAATTGTATTTCTTTCTGCAACACGGATGTCCATTGCCTTCACAATCGTATTCAAGATTGAAGATTTGACCCTATATTCCCAGAAATATGATATAATAGGAAGCTGAGTGGACAGGAGTTTTGTTACGGTATTAGAAATAAGAGGATGATAGATACAGGGTGTGGTGAAAGCTTTACACGCCGATTTTAGGGATTTTAGGGATCCGAAGAATGCTCGAATCTATCGACTGTCTGCTGTCTTCAAGCTCGTAACTTCAACCTCCCACCATCAGGGGGAAGCACAACCCCCGGATTTTGAATTTGGGTGAGGGGTCTTGCAACGTAATTGTCAACCTTTTCGCCTTCCGAAATCATGATTTCGGAAAGCGAGGTGATCATGATAATTTCAAATTGTGTTTTTTGTTCTACATCAGAAGTACATTGTGATTGTGATTTACTAATTGTATTGAAATCTACTTTGATTGTTATTAGACGTCTGTACTATATAGGGGAAGTGTGGATATGATGGCATACCTGATATAATGACACCCTTCCATTATTAACGGAGTTTATTCAATTATGAATTGTTCGACAGTTGCCCGCGATTCAAATGTGTATGATTAGTGCCCGTTTCGCCGCCGCACGAGATTATTTTGATTATTTGTAAGTAAAAACTTTTTTTCACCTATACATTGCACCAATTTTCAGTTGCATCCAGAAAATATGTGTCATTTTTCATAGTCAAATGTGATAAGTATACTATTGAGCTTTCCATATATCATTTACTCTCATTGGTAATATGTTACGTTATCCACAGTGTTGCTCTCTTGATATGATGGCATAGTAGGGTCAGAAAAACACCAATCACGATCTATTATCAATTCTGATGATGCATCTGTTAGTGAACCAAGCAATTCGTAAAAATATCACCAAGGTACAGCAGCAGGATTTTCCAAAATGTCAGTCAGCATTCAGCAACTATAGGCAAATGAAGAAAATCAAGAAAGTAAGGGAAAATGGGCGTCATCAGATATTGAAGGAGATAAGTCTGTGGAAAATGTTAAGCACCTGAAAGAAAAAGAGAAATTGGCGAAAGCAGCTAAGAGAAATCTTGAAGCCACTGATGAATCAGATGAGGAAAGTACACAAGCTGAGTTCGTATGGGGACTCCCACCGAGACATGGGTTCGAATCCCAGTTAGGCCATGGATGTTTGTAAATGTATGCTTTCCTAACCCCGCACAAGTTTCGACTTATGGGGCATTGGATCCAGTGCTGGGTCCAACCAGGAAATGCAATTGAAAAAAAAAAGATGAAGATGATGAGGATGTTGCAAGATGCGTACACTGGAATGAGCTTCTCTGTTGGTGTAAATCAATAGAGCTGTGTGACTCAAAATGTCAGCTATGTAGTTCCTATGCCTATGCTGCTTGTGCAGATAGGAGTCAAAAAAACAAACATTTCATTTGTCAAATTCACGAAGATGACTGAATTCACCTATGTTACCTTATCTGTTAATTTTCTTATAGGGTGCCATAATTCAAACTTGTTTGTTATGATGGTACCCTCGACAAACAATAATTAAAATACAATTAATAACTAATCATGAGTTTTCATCAAATTTCGAATAAAAATAGATATCAACAACGATAATCTTGATGTGTCTTGTGAATTTTATCTTTATTGAAGCTATTTCAGAACCTGAAAATTAAAAAAAATGGTGCCATCATATCCACATCTCCCCTATGATACCTATTATTCACTCAATATCGTATGAAACCACTCGAAAGAAGTTTAAAACTACTCATTTTGGATATAAAATCAATCAATAAAGGGCCTATAAACACTCAATAAATTTTCTTGATACCCAATAATGAGTTTAAACTCACTCAAGAAATCGCGAAAAGTAGATATATTCAAATTTGAACTGGAAACATCGACTCAATTCTGATTCCTTATATTCACTCATTGAATCATCATGTCACTCAGTCAAATAGAGTGAATTCCCAACTCAATCGGGCGTGGACCGAAATTGAGACATTATTGAGTGAAGTTTGAGTAAAATTTTACTAATTTTCTTTCTGTGTATTCGAGAATATTAATGGTTTAAATTCGTGCGGAGTCATACTCCGCGTGCGACTACTGGAAGGTTGAACTACTCGCAAAATTATTACTTACATCAAAAGTTGTCCTCCTGACGAGTCTGACGACCTAACTTGACATGTTTTTGGATTTTTAGATAGGCCACCCGGTATAATCTGAAAGCTGTATACATAAATTTCAACGTGACTTATTACAGTCAAACTTTTTCACTAAAGTTTCCATTCATGATGTGATATACGAATATGCGAGTAAGCCTCGGTCTCATATTATGAGGGCGCAAGCGGCAAAAGTTGCAAAATATCAAAAGTAATCAACGTTATTGGTAAAGTATACAGTGTGACTCACTTCTAATGGAAACACTCCTGTATCTTACGTAATCGTTGGGTAAGGATCCTGAAATTTGCTGGAGCGAGAGATATACCAAAAATGCACTCTATGACCAAGTGGGGTCATCTTCAGTGATATACACTGCTCGCCAACAGCCATGGAACCACCCCAATTTTCGGAAAATGATATTAGGAGTCAAAATAGGTTGAAAATCAGTCCGGATTCGGAAACAGGACTTATACTTATATATAAAAAAAGTTGTAATTCGTCACTTTGTTTGCTGTCATTTCTCAGTATATCTGGTTGAAAACCAAACTACACTTTTTATATCTGGAAATATATCTAAACATAAAACAACATCATGTTTGTCATAGTGGGAACTGGGGATCACATTGATTTGTAACGGGTGAGATTTTTCAAAAATAAGGTTTAAATACTTACAACAACTCCAGTGGATGAGGTTTATCCCTGTAACAAGAAAGAATATAAAATATGAATGTATGCAACTAACATAATACTAGGACTGAGACTAAAAAATTTTAGTTTGATGATTACCATGTTCAATCTAAGAGTGCCCTAACAAAGGTGGTCCGCATTTTGCGGTCCCTTTTTATCAATTTCAATTATGTATCAGTAATTTTCATAAGTATGTAAACATCAATTGTTTCCTCCATAACAGTGCTCCTATGAAACTTCATGCTGATGATGAAGCTTTGAAGCTTCGAAACATGCCCCCCTATGAATTGCTTTTATTGAAGTATACTTTTCGTGGAAGACACGATGAGAATTTGAAAACAAAATCTTCTGAAGTTGAGAATTAGCAAAACAGGGATTGAATGCCAACAAATAATTCTCAGATGTCAGTTCGTTATAGTTTTAGTTATATTATAGGGAGATGGAAATTCTGTATATGCCATGGATTATTCTTCACATCTACGTCCTCCTTTGGTACATTTTGATAGATTCCAATAATTATGTCCTGTGTACACGGCTTTAGAGTATAAATACTTTTTTGTTTCCCATGCTCTTATCACCTCGCCTGACCAGTTCCTATGAATCAGTCCAAAAATTTGTGTCGGTGTGTGCGGTACGAGTTCCGATTAAAAATGTCGCGTAAACGAACACATGATTACTTAGGCGAAATGCGAGAAATGCAGAAAAAACTGAGGAGATTGGAAAAGCACTTATTAAGGAATGATTCATCTACGGAAAACTCAGATAGTAAGTACAAAATAAAAATAAGTTTTTACAGCTACAGGGGGACTATTATGAAGCGGTGACATTGGGCACCACATACCTATTTATAGGTATTTTATGTTACTCGGTGACATTGGGCACCATGTTTCGAGTTTATTGGTGACATTGGGCACTATATGTTTCAAATTATTGGTGACATTGGGCACCATGTATTATGCTGATCGGTCACGGTGACATTGGGCACCACGAAGTGATCAAGTAAAACTCTGAATGACTAGGAATCTTTTCCATTGACAGGTTGTTCTTCTGAGGAAGAAGGAGCGAGTCATAGTGATTCTTAAGAGGTTTCGACCGCAGCAGAACCTCCGCTGGTCACAGTGGCGCAGGTTCATAGATCCGCTGATGCTGACCTAACACCTCTACTGGGCACAAATCCGAATTTGCCGGCGAAATCTGGTATTTTTTTGAATGAAGAATTGATTTCAAGATGGACGGCATACTTAAGGCAGGGAATATCAGCAGAAATTCGAAAGGATATCCAAGAGAAATATCCCACTCCATCCAATTGCCAGGCATTGAATCCACCTAAAATGAACGAGGAATTGAAAACCCTCATTCCAGAATCAATTGCAACAACAGAAAGATTCTTTATTTCAATCCAGGAACAAGTAGCAAGGGGACTTTCAGCTATTGGTGAAGTATTAAATGCAAAGTTAGACAAACCTGAGGATGAAGTAATTCTATCTACTGAGTTAACTCAAAAACTTGTTGACTCTGCTCAGATGTTTCCAAACGTGCATCATGCAATTTCAATGAAGAGAAGGACGAATATTATACCTTTTGTAAATTTAGATAGCAAGGCAGCATCAATGCAATCTCCAATAGATGAATATTTATTTGGAACCAATTTTCTTGATAAGGTCAAAGCTCACCAGTCATTAAGGAAAGCAGGTTTGGAGATAAGAAGAGCTACTCCGGAAGATGTGGTCCAAGCAAAAAACAAGAATTCTTTGAACTACAGGAAGGGGTACGGGAAACACAAGAAGAAAGAAGAGGTAGAGAAAGAAGAGAGGTGGAGCAGGAAGTCATATCCCAGGTCCCGAACATTCAACCACCAGTACCAGTCATCCAACCAGTTTCAGAAGAAGCCGCTGAAGAAGCCATATTTCCGTCGCCAGGAAGGTCAGAGGAAAACCTATTAAATCAGGTAACCAATGTTGATGTGGTTACCAAATATGCTGGTAGACTGAAACTTTTCAGTGATAATTGGTCAGAAATATCTAATAATAAGACAGTTTTGAATTGGGTTCGTGGTGTGGATATACCATTTATATCAAAGCCATATCAAAAACAGGTTCCCCAAATTAAAATAAACGAATCAGAAATGTTCAATTACAAACAAGAAATAAAGTTACTTCTTGAAAAAGGCGCAATCAAAGAATGTAAACATACTAGAGGGGAATTTTTGTCATCATATTTCCTTATCAAAAAGCCTAATGGAGAACGAAGGTTCATCATCAACTTGAAAAAGCTCAATCAATTTATATATGCACCTCATTTTAAATTGGACGGTCACAAATCTGTTATGAAACTATTGACGAATAATTGTTTTATGGCTAGTATGGACCTAAAAGACGCATATTTACTCCTTCCTATCAGAAATAATTTTCGAAAATACCTAAGATTTCAATTTCAGGAAAATCTTTATGAATTTACATGTTTGCCATTCGGCCTCAATATCGCGCCGTTTATTTATACGAAATTACTGAAACCAGTTGCTTCTTCACTAAGGAAGAAAGGCTGTACCATAATTGCATATTTAGATGATATACTACTCATTGATGAACAGTACGAACAATGTAAAAAATCGGTTGATTTAACTTTGAAATTGTTTACATCATTGGGATTCATCATAAACTATCAGAAGAGTAAGCTAGTTCCATCGCAAGAGCTGAAGTATTTAGGCTTTCTTTTCAACACAAGGAAAATGACTATAGTTTTACCTTCAGATAAATCTCTAAGAGTGACTAAATTCGTGAAATCACTTGTCAAGAAACCACATTGTAAGATTAGGTATTTTGCATCGATTATCGGTATGCTTGTTTCAGTCGCACCTACCTTAAATTATAGCTGGCTACACATAAAGAAATTTGAAATTGTAAAAATCAGGGCGCTGAGACATAATCATGGAAACTTCAATGCAACCATGAAAATACCTCGTTTTCTTACGGATGATATTAGTTGGTGGTTAGCAAATATAAATAATACGGGTAGACACTTCAAACTAGAACAATTCAGTCTCGAAATATTTTTTGATGCTTCAACTACTGGTTGGGGTGGTTTTTGTGAGGGTATGGAATGCAAAGGTTTTTGGAATTATGTTGAAAGAAAAAAGCATATTAATTGGTTAGAGATATGTGCCGCATTTTATACATTGAAATGTATAGCAAAAAATGTATGTCAAAAAACAATTTTATTGAGAATTGATAATATCACAGCAGTAGCCTGTATCAATAAGATGGGAAGTACTCGATTTCAACATCTGAAAGATATCACAAGAGAAATGTGGCTTTGGTGTGAAGATAGGAGAATATTGATTCAGGCCTCATATATCAGTTCTGTAAAAAACGTGAAGGCAGATCAACTTCAATTGATAGTGAATATGAGTTGAATCGAATGTCTTTCAATTATATTGTGAAAAAATTCGGAAAACCGGAAATAGACCTATTTGCAACAAGAATTAATAGAAAATGTGACCCGTATGTATCCTGGGGTCCTGACCCAGAGTCCATAGCAATTGATGCCTTCACAATCAACTGGAAGAACTATTATTTTTACAGCTTTCCACCGTTTTCTATGATTCATAAGACCCTTGAAAAAATTATATCAGATAAAGCTACAGGAATTTTAGTTGTTCCAGACTGGCCATCTCAATCATGGTACCCGTTATTTTTCAAATTACTAGTGGGAAAGTCGGTAAGATTTTCCCCACATGAAACATTATTATTATCTCCTTCCAGGGAAAGCCATCCCCTATATACATCGGAATCTTTCCCTGGTGGTCGGGAAGTTATCTGGGCTGCATTTTCCAAGAACGTCCCAGAAGAAATTGTTCCAACAATGATATCGTCAATTTGTGAGGCTACTTTGAAACAATATTCTTCTGTGTTCAAAAAATGGTGGGAATATTGTACATCACAAAATATCAATCCCTATAAATATATGATATAACATATATTTTGAAATTTTTTAACGAAATGTTAAAATCTAAATTATCTTACTCGTCTTTGAATACATTTAGATCCGCGCTATCACTCATTTTCGATTTTGAGCAAAAAGATAGAATTATACTCAAAAGGTTTTTGAAAGGTGCATATAACCTTAACCCCTCTGTACCAAAATATTCTGTTACATGGGACACAACGTTAGTATTACGGGAACTTGAAAAACTGTATCCTTTCGAGAAGTTATCAATCAAAAATCTCACATATAAATTAGTGACTCTACTGGCCTTAACTACAGCGCATAGGGTTCAAACTTCAAACATTATCCAAGATTCATCTTGAAAATATCATATGTTCTGACGATAAAGTGGAGATCAGGATCACTGATAAAATCAAAACTTCGGGACCTAATAGGAATCAGCCATTTATTACCTTTCCATATTTCAATGAAAAACCTGAACTATGTGTAGCTGCCACTATAAATCATTATTTGGATAGGACAAAATCAATAAGACCTGATCAGGTTCATTCTCTTATAATAACTCACAAGAAGCCAATAAGAGCAGCAACTACACAAACTAAAACTAAGTCGGTGGATTATAGAAATTTTGGTACAGAGTGGTATAAACACAAGCATATTTACTGGACACAGTGTTAGACATGCATCCACTTCGGCTGCATACAGAGCGGGTCTAAATATTGACATAATTCGGAAGACTGCCCGTTGGTCAGAATCATCCACGGTGTTTAATACGTTCTACAATAAACCTCTTTGTTCATAACCAGGAAAATTCATGAGAACTATATTGAAAGACTGAAAAATCATCTAGAGGTAATTTTGATGATGTTTTGTAATTTATTGATTTAATTTAATAACAATGTCTAGGTGGGTAATGAATATTGAAGTTGTTCTTTGTTATATACTTGTTATATACCTTATTGCTATCACTACAATAAGGTTATCGTTTTTGTGAAAACAGCATTTACTATTATATTATTCTATATTTTTTATAATTTAATAAATTCTATTTACTGTATCATTGCACT